TTTATTTTTGTTGTATTGCAAGCAAATTAAAAGTTGTAAAAATGAAAAATGCCAGGAAGTATTGCGCGGTTAAAAGCAAATATATAAAAGCTAAAAGAAAAATAAAAAAAAATTAAAAAAAAAAATTTTTTATAAAAAGAAATTTTTAAATTTTTAAAACAATTTTAAAAATTAAAAAAAAATATTTAAAATTTTTTTTTATTAAAAATTAAAATATTTAAAAAAAAATTTTTTTTCAATTTTTTGTATATAAAATTTATTCTAATATCTCTTAAGAAATTTCCCAGCTCTCTGAGTTTTGTATATTATAAAATTTAAGTATACAGTTTTCTGATTTCAATAACCATTTATAAATTATTTTATATTTTGATTTTATTCTCCTTTACTCAGCTTAATTTACTTGATTTCTATCGTTGTTCTCACATTTTCAGTTGATTTCATTTGAAGTTGAAGCTTGGCAGCAGTCTTTATCATAATATCGTGTTCTAGAATTGCAGCTGTGGCAAATGGCAATGACAACTAATTATGAATATGTTTCGGCACATGAACTGCCTTGCTCACAGGCAAACGGACGGGCAAATAGGTGGACAAGCAGACGGACGAAACGGACGGAACTATTTGCATTAAAACTGACCAAACAAAGTTCAGCTGAGTCTAATTTGGCTGGTTGCCTGTTGGCACAGAGTACACACGCACACACACGCACACACACTCACACACATACGTGAACTTATGCAAACAGTTAGTACTTGAAACTTGTTAGTCAAAGTGTAGTCGAAGTGTAGTCGGGGCAGCGTGGTCTCTCGGACAGCGCTATGAAAATGACAATAATAAAATTTAATGTACACATATGCATGACTCCTGCTACTTATATGTGTGAGTGCGTGTGTGTGTGTGTGTGTATGTAAATTTCCCTTGCTAACCGTAAAAACGTTTCCGACTGTTGCAGCAGCACCAAAAACTAAAAGAACTAAGCTGCAATGTCATGTGGCAGGCGGCATGAGGCACAGTTGAAAGTCATCTAGTTTAGTAAGCAGGCTATCAAAGGAGAGGTTGGCAGGGGGCTGATATAGAGGGTGTTGTAGGGCCTGGTGGAGTGGTCTTGCAGGGAACTAGCAGTACTCGAAGTTCATTGCTGGCAAAATGAGACGGGCGTCATTTTAGCGTGTGTGTGTCTGTGTGTGTGTTGGAGTGTGTGCAGCAGACCAAAACACTTCCTACCGCTTTGGCCAAGTATCATTAAAAATATAAAAGTATTTTATGCACACACACAGGAACAGTTTGGTGCACATTAAGCCAGTGCACATGACTATCCTATCTGTGTGTCACATACAGGGTGTGTGCGTGGGTGTGTGTAACTCATGCCATGTATTTTTGAGGACATTGTCGTTAGTATTTCTATGCTCTAACAAAAGGTATTGTAACTGAGTTATGAAATGTGCAGAAGCATATATATATTATATATCTATATCTATATTTTATATATAATATATTATATTATATATATTATTAACTCAAGATGTATTCAGCTTCTTAAACCTATGTAATTATTCCTTTTTTCTTCATTCACTATTTCGAAGAGCTTCGTTAAAGAGTTTGGCTCTCGCAACTTTATGTAGCTGATCATTAGAGTATTTTTGATGATTTCTAGAATTTGTTGGAAAGTTGTTCTATATCATAAATCTATCAACGGAAAATTATTAAAATTCAGACTATAATATCTAATATATCTAACTTGGTCAGACCCTTTCTTCCTCTCTGATCTTTCTCCTTCTCCAATTCTATAACTCATATTCCGCTGAAAATTTCTAGTCTTATAGATACTCTGCCAATATTTCCAGCCATGATTATATCATCCACAACAACATAATTCATTTTCTTGGCTCACACAATTTCATAGTGCCCATATGTATTTTTTAAGGGTATCTTATCTGCTACCGTAAGATAACTCTATCTCTCTCTCTCTCGGTCTCACCCTTTATGTTTTATGTGCCGTGCTTTGTGCTGGCTGCTGGTTGCTTTTCTGGCAAGTCATTGTCATTTGGTCAGCTGCAAACAGCTGCCAGTTTTCATCTATGAAGAGCAGGCAACGACTCGTTCCACGCCTAGCTCCCTGACTCTGCCTGTGCCACAGTTTGTGGCAGAGCCAGTGGCAACCAGTTCATTATCATGTTAATTTTGTTGTAATTTGCTTGCTAAATGTTGCCAAGTCGTCGTCGTCGTCCATTTGGAGCCATTTTCCGGAGTCGCTTCTCTTTGCATATTTAACTTTATTTATGCTTTTTTGCATGTTTTTCATATGGAAAATTAGAATTTTTGACTTCTCTCAGCCAGTCGGCTACGGCTACCCTGCCTCGTCTTCTACTTCTTCTTCGACTAATTTGCCAACTATTTTCGCAACGAAAGTTTTCTTTTGTCGTTTTGTGGGCAACTTTTTGGGCGCACACACAAAGAGAATATGTCACGAATTGTCATCCCGATCGTTGGGAATTGGAGCTGTAGCTGGGAGTCACATTTCTAGTATTTCTGGCCTTTGTATGCCCACAATTGGGCCCACAGACTATGCTATTGTGTGTGAGAGTGTGTGTGTGTGTGTGTGTGAGTGTGTTTGTGCTTGTGCTTGTGTGCTCCGCTGAGCCTTTCATGTGTGCGTGTGTTTGTTTGTGTGCGAAGCAAGGATAATGATGTGCACTGCTCTCGACTGTGTATGTCACTCAGTCAGTCAGTCAAAGAGTCAATATTTTGTTTGTAACGTTTATGCTAATTATGCATGTTGACATGGAAAACTGTGTCACCGTACGGCCCTAATTATACTCGAGAGATTTGCCTGCACATTAACTAGCCTCTGCCAATACCTCAGCCAAACCCTGCTCCTGCCTCCAATCACCAGAGGAGCTATTACATATTCGTGGGACTGTCTCGTTTCCCATACAATTAACTTGTGAACTTTGTGTCGATGGCAGACATAATATTGTTAAGTTTGTCAAAAATATATTTTCCATAATTCAAAGCAATGTAGTTAGCCTTGGCCAAGAAGAGTTCGCAAGACTTGAATCACATGAGAAGCCCACTTATATTATATTGGCAATGATGATACTTTCCCTAGTTATGCCCTGTGGAATATATTTTATATTTTTGTGTTTGAAGATAGTTTCGTGTGAAGGAAAGCATAAAGATTTTCATTTCGAATTTAGCTTATGAATCTTGAATCAATTAAGAATTGGTCTCGATATTTATCGATTTTTTGTACATACATAGATACATATCGGTACATATATATATCGATAGATATGTACATATATCGATATACGTATATCTGAAAGTATTATTCAAGTCGATAATTTGTTTTCAGTTATCGATATTTATCCGTTTTCGCTTTTAAAATCGAAATACCTCTATATATATATATAGATATACAGTTTAATATATATATATATATATATATAAATATGATAATTCCAACTACTAACCCTAAGTCTATCGAGAGCTGTTGAGATGAACGGTATGTTACATATAGCTGACATACAGCCTTTTAAATAAATTGATCTTGGGCAAACAAATTATATTCAATTAAAGCAAAAATTATTTGAGTTGTGGTTGCTCTGTGGCTCTGCCGACAGTTGTTGAATCACTTCAACAGACTCTGCAAATAATTTACACACTCGACTTAATGAGCAGCTCTCTGGTGGCTCATTGGGAGATGTCTGTGGATTCGGTCTTCGGTCCTCGGTTCTCGGTCCTCTATTTATGCGCTCAATTTGAAGCTAAACCGTTCGAACTTAACTAACCAAACAACAAATTGGTTTGCGCACGAAACGAATCAATGAAAATCGATGCAGACGCAAGCTCTGCCCAGTCTGCCGTATGTTGTATGCTGTATGCTGTATGCTGTATGCCGTAAGCTGTATCCTTGCAGCCGGCAACCCGCTGGCACGCTTGGCCAAAGCCCCCGGCAGCAGGACTACAAAATAATTGACAGCAACAGCAGTTGGGCGTTCAGCTGAGTGACAGAGCAACAGACAGACGCAGTCAAAATCCAGCTGGGCTGATGCAATCCAGCGCCAGCCGAAACTGTGGCGTCTCCTCTAAATTGGAAATGTCATTGAGGCGTTTAACTTGCGCACCGTCAACGACATGGACAGCGAATTGAAGGCAGGCAGACGGTAAAATCATTTAAAACGCCCTGACCTCGCCCAGCCATACGGATTCCATATCCTGATGCCCGCTTCAAATGCAAGTCTAGTCCAAATGACAGCCAATTGTTGCAGGCGGCCACTTAGCAGGCGGCTGTTGCCAACGGCCAGACAAAAATGCCCTCTGAACCCGCTCACCTGTATAGATCATGCTGACAATAGGCTATGCTTGTGATACCCTGTAAAGAAATCGTGGGATTTCTAGCAGTTGTTCAGCTGGAAAATTAAATACAAATTGTTGCCTACCGAAAATATTGGAATTTGCTGAATAAATTTGCCTTTAATCAAAGCATAGAGCACATATGCTTGCTGCCACACTTCATACTGATTGCACAAGAAATACAAAAGATTTTTAGCTTATTTAATTTGCATATTGTGGTAGAGAGTATGGAGCTGGCCGCAGGGCATGTAACACTCATGCACGCTCAGAACTTGCTGTTTTTTGACTTGCTTGTCAGATAGTGACTTGAGATATGCATACAACTGACAACTTAATATCGAAAGAATAAACATCAAACTCGTGGCAAGAAATAAAATATGTTAATAGAAGAAAGTCAAGTAGAGAAAGGAAACCAAGTGCAACAGCTAACAGGATAAAAGGTAAAGAAAGAAAGACAAGTACGCCGGCTTACAGGGTATCTAGCAGTCGCTCATACTCGAGCCCAGCTCACTTTTTTGATTGCCAGCTGTAGTAGGAATGGCACGAGGAGTTGGCTGCACAAAATCTTAACAAAAGCAATATATTATATATATATTTTACTTATTTCCCACTCTTTTTTGTCTTCTCATTCTCTCTGCCTCGCACAGACAACAAATTCATTTGCGACTGTCGTCTACAGTGGATCTTTGAATTGAAAAATCGCACACGTCACCAGCAGCTGCGCGACTCATTGGAGAATTTCATTTGTGCACTGCAGGAGCCGAAGCTGTCGCACTTCGTCGATCCGGTGCCATCGCACATACTCGATCTGTTAAACTTTGGCGGCTTCACAGCGATTGGCAGCAACAGCGCCAGCATGGGCGGCATTGGCACCAGCAGCAGCAGCAACGGCATCAGCAACTATGCTAATCTGGAGGAACTGAGCAGCAACAATGGGCTGACCATGAAAAAGCACACGTCGAGCAAATCGCGACAGGCGTTGCGCGGCCAGCGACAATTTACGGACAATGCTGAAAATGTGGTCGAGTCGAAGCTGCGAGTGCGTCGCAAGCGTCAACAGCAACCCGAACCGGAGATAGGAGGCGTCGCTGCCGTGGCGCAAACACAAAAACGTTTTGACTACTACGACGAGGCCAATGGCAACGGACACGCATCGGGCTTAGGCCTGGCACATGGCTTGGACATGGATGATAATCTGAATTTGCATAAACAAAGCAGTTTCTATGGCGCCTCTGGACTGGCTCACAACGATGTTGACTTGCAGCAGCAGCAGCTGCAGCCACAAGCTGGCGATGCACTCGATGCTCTGGCCAACAAGAACTCGATAAACGTTCATCTCTTCATACTAAAGCCGGAAATGCTGCCCTGCCACGATGAGCTGAGCGATCCCACCGAGTTGCCATTGTCCCGTGACCTAATGGATGTGCGCAGCAATGCGGGCCAAGATCTGCTCATCAATGGAGCAAACACAATGCAGGTGCCACTTGGACTACTACTAAGCACTCCAATGCTGTTGCTGCTGCTGCTCAGTCAGGGTTGAGCACACATGAAGTCGCTCTTCAGCCCATATGAGTTTTAATTGTAAATACTCGTGAGCATTCATTTGGTTGTTCTACAGCAAAAATAAACTAAATACTAAAGATCTTTTCATATGGATACAGAGTAGAACTTTTGGAAACGAGCTTCAAAAAAAAAACACACACAAAACAAAACCCAAAAAAAAAGATGAAAGAGAAAGAAAACTAAAACACAAACCCCTAAAGTCTTGTATATATGTAAAAAATGGAAATTCGATAAACCAAAAAGAAAAACCTAAACTTAATTTAAAACCTAGCTGTTAGCTGTAGCATTAGTCTTGACTTTGACAACAACTTTGAACCGAACTACAAGCAGCACTAAGAAAACCAATAGGAAACACACGAAAAATTTCAATTAAAAACAAACCAAACCAAAAACATAAAGAAAAACCTCCGAACAAACTGGCGTTTCATTTAAACTCAAAAAAAAAAACATTAATAAAAAAAAATAAAAAATACTTAAAACCAGCTAAAATTTGAAATGGAAACCAAAAAGTGAAGAAAAACTTAACACTGTACTACATAGCTATAGTTTTTGAATAGCCATACAGTTGCATTATTTGAGATTCCGTTAACTCTTTAACAAGGTACACACAGTACAGTGAAACACTTGGAAAGCGCTAAACGTCTTAGGTACACAGTCAAAAAGGCCAACAGAGTCCAACAGAGGCAAGCCTGTAAAATATAATTGCAGAACAAAACATACGACAGCTGAACGTTTAATTAGATTATCAAACTATAACTAAAAAATAAATAAAAAAATAAATAAAAATAAATAATATAAATACTATTATTAATAACTTATGCTTAGTCGACCTTAGTCGGCTTCCCTCTAGCTGTTAAGCATTGCTTTGTTTCTAGATCTAAGCACACACAAACACACACATATATATATGTTATTTCCAATCTTCCTTTCGCTCTGCCACGCCCACAACTATCGCCTGCTTCAACTATAACTGTTTTTACTTTCGCTGCACTCTGAAACAAAAGAAAATAATTTAAATAAATTGCGAATTTATGACTCATTTTGAATAGATTTTAAATTTTTAGCAGATGAATATATATATATATATATAAATATATTCATATATATATATATATATATATATATATATATATATATATTCATATATATATATATATATATATATATATATATTTATATACATATAGGTATATATATACATATATATATATATATAGAAAACAAAAGAGCAGAAATATGCATAACGATTTTTGTAGCTTAAGACTGAATAAATAAATATAAATTATGCTTAAACATATACTCTATACTATATACACTATATCTATATGTATGTGTATGTATGTATGTATGTATGTGTATATGTATTGTACGTTTAATTGTATTGTAATGAACGCAAGCTGGGGAAAGGGTAATGCTATTTATATAGAACACGAGTATCGAAAGCACACACACACACAAAGAAATTCGCACACGCACACACCAATGCGATATACATTTATTCATAATATGCACGTATAGTTAATATACATAAGTGCATATTTCAATTTATTTAAGCTCGTCGATATATTTTTTTGCCAATTTAATTATGCACAAAATATAATTTGCATTTGCAAAAACTGAAAAAGCTGAAAACTTTACCATATTTGATTAATGTGTGTGTTTGTGTGTGTGTGTATTTTCGCAACAAGAAATGAAAACACAGAAATATATAAATGAATATGAAAATAAATATGTATTAATTAAAAATACAGAAAACGCAAATTGCAAATTATATATAAGTGTATAAAAAGAAAAGAGAAAACAGAAAACCGACAACAGAAAACAGAAAGCAGAATAAAGTAAACAGAACTCAAATAGAGCAGAAATAAAACTCAAAGCATTAGAAGCAAGCATAGTTTTTAGTGGACAATCAGCAGAAAAGTAAAAGGAAAATGGGAAAAGCACAGCAAAAGCGACAATGCGAAGAAAACTTGACAGAAAATTGAGCAGCACGCAAAGCAGTTAAGTAGCCAGAAAAAATAATACAAAAAAAAACACTTCAGCTAAAAATTTATAAAAAAAAAACTAAAAAAAAATTTAAATATAAAGAAAATTAGTTTAAGCTAAATGTATCTAGAGTTTTCTTTAGCGAAAAGTTAAGCGTAAGAAAGTTTAATTAAATGTGCAAAAAAAAAAAAACAAAATAAGAAATAAAAAAAACCCAAAAGTGAAACTTTATTCTATTTTTCCCGAGCAAAGCGGCACAATTTACTGGTGTTGCTAGCTCTCTGTAAGCATTTGAAATATGTTTTTCAATATCGATTTGGTATATATATATATATATTCATTTGCCAGACTCGGATTATACAATAAATAAATTGAAATGCCTGTAAAGTAAACTTGATTAGTTTAGTGACTCGCATTAAATGCTTGTAATTAATGAAACTAAAATATTATTTCATATAGTTAGCCTTAAGCGTTCTCAACCAAAGAGTCTTGAGTTCCTGCTCTCTACTGAAGCTTTGCCAGTATTCTTTATGTTCGCTTCAATATCTTCTGTCTATGATTTTCCAGACACAAAAAAAAATATTTAAAAAAAGAAGGCACCGAGTAACGTAATTTTAAATATTTAAACAATACAATTTAATGTAGCTTACTTAATGATTTTCAACTTAAATGTACACAAAACAAAGATACAGTGAAATATTTACCAGCAGCAAAACAATGCATTGTAAAACGAAAATAAATAAAAACAAAATACAAAAAAAAAACACTTAAATATAAAAGCAAAAGAAATACTTATATAAATGTACTTTGATGTAAGAAAGTTTGCTAAAACGACGAAAAAACTCGATATGAAAACGCTGGCAAATGTCGCTGCCCATATGGGCGTGGGCGCAATGAGGGCGTGGCGCAATAGCGAAACGTCAAACAAAATGAAAACCAACAAATAGAAATGCAAACAGAAAAACCAAAAAAAAACAACATTCCAACTGCAATATTTTGTTTAACATTTTACCTACAAGAAAACCAAATCCTTGCGCTCATTGCGCCCCACATTTGCGTGACAAAAACAATTTTGAATGAAAAACATCTAAATATATTTAATGTAAAAAAAAAAGCATAAAAATTGTTGTTTTCTTGAGTTTTCACTCTCCACACTCGACGCCACAGGATGCGCCTGTAGATTCAACTAAATAAAGTCTGTTTTTGGAACTTGTGCAGCTTAAGAAGATCTTAGAGCTCTGCAGTCGAGCATGCATGACTGCATGATACTTATTCTTGCTGGAGTTCATGCCGAATTTATCTTAACTGAAATGCTGAGCCTCAATGAGTTATATTTTTTTCACATTACTCATTGTAGGGTGGGAACTAAATACTCTACTGCAGCATATATGAATTTGTTCATAAAAATAGTAGTGCCACTTAGTACTAAATGTTGTGCAGCACTACTATTTTTGTGAACAACACTGTATATCATCTATATGCATGCTTAACTAGCTTTCATGCTGAAGCAGAGACAGCTGCATTAAAGTTGTCCCGAGTGAGCCTTGATTGACTGAGATCAGGATCCGGCTTACATAACTTTTAGTCTCTCTGTTGAGTAGCTCGAGCGGAACTCATTTACTCCAAGCAGAACCTCTATCTGTAAAGATATAGGATGTATTAAAGAAACAAATTTGAAACAGTAAACAAAACCAATATGCTCCTAATTGAAAAGGCGAACCTTCATAGGTAGTTTGAATTTTCCATAGCGCTCGGCAACGCTGCTGTTACTGCTACTGCTGCTGCTGTTGAATATTTCATGCGAATGGGACACAAAGGCTGCGTCGCCACAGGATATGTAGAGTAACGCGCTATTGTTGTGTGCGCAATATTTTTGCTAAATTTCATTATTGATCGATTGAGAGGTGCATAAGAAATTGCTGCAGGGGTAAGCAAAAAAAAAAAAAAAGGCTACGCACACACACATTACTCATACGCCACGTCGGGCGACATCTAATGAAGTTGTATGGCGTAGCGAAGCGTGGATAAGCCACCAATCGGCGACGCCTGTTTTGCCACTTCATAAATGGTTGATTGCCTGCGTGCAGAGGCGGGCGGGCGCTTGTGCATATGTGGGCGTGTCGCTGTCTGGTGCTTTATATCTATGTGTATACAACAAAAAAAAGAAGCACAGTGAAAAGTCTGCAAAGTGATAAATTGGATTCAAACAGTGGAGCAGATTTATTGATTTCGTTGCAGGGCCCAAGCTGTGGCAGGGGCTGCACGTCAAATTGAATGTACGCCATAAGCGACAAAAATCAAAAACAGATATGCAAATACAGACGCACATACACACACACAAACATGCACACACGCACAGGCACTCGCATATGGAAGAAAATGGCGCTGGAAAATAAGTAAAGCGAAAAAACGAGCGCGTTTTTTCCCTTTGCAAACGACGTGTCAAATTTTTGCAACTGATTATGCCCGAGGCTAGCCTGCTGTATGTGTGAGTGTGTGTATGTGTGTGCGGTTGCCAGACGCGTTGCTAGACAATAATATCAAACAGGACAGCAACAACAACAATGAGTAGAGCGCTTAGTGCGGCCTGCCAAGTGCCCGCAGCCCGGGCTGAAGTGCTCGTAAAACTCCGCAACTATTCGCTGCTCAATGTTGGGTCTGATGTGCTAGCTCATTATTTTGCCATGTGCCAGGCAACGGCCACGACAAAGTCAACGGTGCCAAAGAAAAAAATATCTATTAAGCTGCAAAATGTACTGCAAAAAAAGGGGTATAAAAAGGTGCGAAGATTATCATCTCATAATAATATGAATATGGAAAAAGTCTGGTAGATAAGTAGAGCTTATGGTCTTTGAGTGTTTGTCAGAAGTTTGCAGAAATGGAAAAACTAATTGTGTTATGATAGCAGTCTTATGGCAATACATAAACTTGGCGATCAGGGCAACGTAGTAAAGAGATCTGAACACAAGAAAATGTATCGAAAATTATAATAATCGTCCGAATCTACTTAGCATTCTTCATTATAATCGAGTATATTAAAGACTGACATATCATAATGTAGGCCGTAACTTAATTTATATATGCAGCGACTTAACTTCATGATTTCTGACACTGTTAAAGACAAGTTTATATATAGAAAAGCTTTTGATATCCTCAGTGTATTGAAGCTGATGCAGCATAGCAGCTCGACTATTGTTT